TAAATTTTAACGAATGATGCGAGAGCACAGATATTTTTTCGACGAAGTGCACAAAGGCGACAGATGTTATTCCAACGTAATAGACACGCACTCATCTCGGGGAAACGTAAACGTTGTTTAAGGGCCTCTGTAGTTACATTACTATTACTCTATACCGCATCATTACATAACGCGTATAAAAAGGAAGAAAGGAAGGGGTAGAAAGAAAGAGAGAAAGGAGGGGAAGGATCTTAGGACCGAATACAAATTTTCAGAAAGAGCGGATAAATAAGAAGTAAATTCGCGGAAGAAAAAAAAAAATATATATATATATATACATATTAAAGAATCATATATATTATATACCGATGTCTAATTATTAATTATAAAGCTATTGAACAAATGTTATCGAATAAAATGTTGTAATCTGTGTTGACAATCGCCGACATTCTGAGCCTGAAATGCAACCATCGAACAGGTGTACATCATGCCTTGAAGAATACTTAAATAAAAAACGTTTTAGTCGCGCATCGCGAGATGATGAAGATGAAAGAAGATAGGAGGAAAACGAAGAAAGGAAGGAAGGAAGGAAGGAAGAGAAGTGGGGAGTTTTGAGAAATTGTGTGTAAATATTGTCAGAGTGAAAGTCTGTAATTGTAAAGTTCGCCTATCCTCGACAAATAGACAGCTCGTTATTTGCAAAGGTTTCGGTGTTGTCACGACGTTTAGCGAGAATTATCGTATTGTTAAAGCAAGCAAATCGAGTGACGATCGATGTTTCGAGAGTACGACGCCGTGATCATTTGATGATCGTTTGCCTGTATTTTATTATCACGAGTCAAGAACGACGAACGATGTTTAACGACGAAAAAAAGAAAAAAAGAAGGAAAAAAAAAAATTAAAAAAAAAAGTACGATGCGTGGATTTTTAATCTGTACATAGGACGATATGATTTTTTCCGCTTCGAAGACGTGTTATTACCTGGTGAGAGAAGAAACGAATATACGTTGTTAGAGAATTATGCGGGGGAGAAATATTTAGCAGCTTCGAGAGGTGTACAGATCCTCGACGAAAAGAAATGCGTACAATCACGAGTACATTAAAAGAAAACTTATATCAAAGACATTATCGATAAGTTGTATTTAGTTTCTTTTTCTCTTTCATCGACGGATGAAACGCTAAATACATACATGCCAAACGTGTCGTCGCAATTTAGTCATTCTTCTTTTTTGTACATAATGCACGTAACATAAATCTGGAGTATAAATAAATACGACGGAGTATATACGTGGTGCGTATTGAATGTTTTTTTTTAATTTTTTTTTTTTTTTTAATTAATTTCACAGGACAATTACACACAGCTGGAAACTAACAGTAAATATCGACGTGCATTTAAAATTATTCCTTTGACAACGCAAGTTTCAGCATATAACGACAATGTTATCGATCGCTGTATTAAAATGTACATTATACTTTGGGTTGATGCAAAAGTTTGTCCCGTTTTGACGCCAGATGGCGTTGCATCGCAAAACCGAAGTGTTGTCCACTTCGTGCGTACGTAGTTTCGATGTCGTTTGACAGAAAGGAAAAAAATTGTGTTATTAAATATTGAAAATGGCAGGAAACAAGGAGACACAAAAAACGTTGAAGACGTTAAAAGAACGATTCCACGTGCCGTAAGTGGTTCAGACAGTTTCGTGAAAACAATTTTAATCTTATTGTTAGCGATGCACCCACATTCTGGACGGCCGGCTGAGGACGAAATATTAGCGCTAATTGAAAATGAATTTATGGAATCAACAGTGTCAAGGCGATCATACGTCAACTTGAAATAGTTAGCAAAGATGTACGCCGCATGAGTAAGATGAGAAAAATTTGATAGATCGAATTTCTGCTTGCGATTCTCTATCGAACGAAATCGATCCAAGCGCGATGCCTTTAATCAGCGCAAAAGCTAGTTTACATCCGAAAAATATTATGCATTTGGTGGTGCTGGAAGGGAATCGTTTATTATGAGTATCTGAAAACTATACCATTAATTCGGAGAAATACTAAGTGTATTAAAGCGAACAATCGACCAGAAGCGGCCTGAATTGGTCCATCTACTGTACTCTTCTGATTTTGTGCCCTCCGATTACCATTTATATTCAGATCACTTCAAAACAGTTTAGATGGCAAAAACTTCACTTCTTTGGAAAACTGCAAAAACCACCTGGATCACTTCTTTAGCCAGAGACTTCTCAGAACTTTTATGAATATGGGATTATATAGCTACCAGAGAAAGATGGAGAAAGATCATCGAACAAAAGAGCACATACTCTATTGATTAAATGTAATTTTTAAATAAAATTCTTCAAATTTTAGTCAATAAAAATGGGACAAACTTTTGCACCAACCCAATATAACATACTTACATATGTCAACAAAAAGCTTTATTTCTCCTTCTAGGTTGTCCATATTTTGCCACGTAATATAATTGTAAGGTTACAAGTAATATAAATTGATGGTAAATTTTATATTTTATTTCTTCCCAGATTAACGATCAGTATACATATATACATATATGTATATATAAGTATACGCGTGAAATTGCACAACTCGACAACTTCGCTTTAAATTGTTTTCCATTTCACTGTCAATGTTTTTATTACTATGACCCTTACTATTAAAGAAACAATATAGCGATGGCTTGAAATAACAATATACGTTTGTTCAAAGTACAAATTACAGTTTATTTATACATCTTGATAAAAAAATGTAAATACGTTTAAGCTACAAGAGTTCTACAATTGTTCTTCAACTTACATTTTTTCAAATATCTTAAAGTCATATAAACACGGAATAAGGAATGTCGTGCAATGATTTTACATTCTTTGTACATTGTATCAAGAGATAATTTCTTGTAGTACGTGAATAATTTAACGTGAATCTCAAAAAATAATTATATATAATTATATATATTCCATTATGATTAAAAATTGATAAATAAAGATTTCACTTTAATTCATGAACACATTATTAGTATACATATGACACATATTGTTCAAATATTATTTGAGATATTTGAAAATATAAAAAGACTTTCATGATATATATTAAATTTACTAATCATTTTTTATACATTTTTATATAGTATGAATTAATGTTTTACCTTATTTAATTCCTCTGGAGTAAAACGTAATACCGTAGAAATGGCGTTCAACATATGACGTTTACTGGACGCGTCGTTCGTGGTTAAATAATTTATAAAAACATTCTTCAAATATTCAAGATTCGCACCTTCCCGAGACTTGCAAGCTTCGAGTCTAAAACACCACGTGGGATAGTCGTACGTAAATATCCCATGATTTTTTCAACTTACCATCAGTCTGAAATTTACCTCTCGATTTGAGCCTGCAAAACTTTCGAATCTTCCCTCTGCTTCTCCTTTATATGTACGATTTCTCTTTGTTTCTCTCGCAGTGTAGCTTCCAATTCTAAAACTTTCTTCCTAGATGCTGATACCTGCACTTCTTTTCTCGCTAACTCTTGGCTGTAATGCAATATCGGAGGGCTGTCGTTTGTTAATAATCCTGTTACTAAGTCGGTAATAGGTTCTGCCCCGTTTCTATATTTTGACGCATTTGATTTACATTCCGCGGTATTTTCCTTTTTCGGTACCAACGCGTGAAACGATGTTTTCAAGGCTAAAATTTCTTCATCCTTTTCTTCGATGAGAGCCATCGATCGTTCTCGTTGACGTAGTAATTGTTGCTCCAACGTAGACATTTTATTACGAAATTCATTCTCTTTCTGTAGCAACAAATGTTTCAGTTTTTCACGTTCTTCTTGAGACGACTGCAAAAATAAATAACCGGTTGTTGGTCAAGTTCGTTTTAAACACAGTTGGCTAAATCTATCAACGATTGATTAGATAAAGAAAAGAAGTTTGCCTTTTCCTGATGGTCCAATTTCAGTTGTAATTCCCTCTCTTTAGTGACAATTTCGTTGTTCAAAACACGTATTCTTTCTTCCAAATTATTATTATGCGCCTTCAAAAGATGTAACTGCGCTTTATGATTTTTATCGTGCAACGACGATGCAATATTTTGATTCTGAATATTATACGATATATTCCCAACGTTGCTGTATTTCATTTGTTGTTTATAATCTTCAAACTCTTGCAGCAGAGTTTCGTACTTTTCTTTATAGTCAATAATTTCTTGTTTATCGTATAAATCTAAACTATGTAACAATGCTGAAAACAAAATTTAATTATACGTCATTATACAATATATTAAATCACCTATGTAAAAGGAGAATATTTCCAATTAACTAACATTTGACGTGTGCCGACTCGCTTTTCTTATTATCGAAATCTAGCAATTTAGTGTAAAGACTTTTTATCTTAGAAACGATTTCTTCGGGTTGGTTGTTTAACGTGATGTAATCGTACTCAGAATCTTGCAGACCAACCAGTTGCTCTTTCAATTTCTGTATGGCTTGTTGATCTTGCTGCCTGAGTCTATCATATCCTCCGACAATTTCTGAAAGTTCAGCCAATCTTGCTTCTAAGCCAGCTACTCTTGCCTCGTGAGTCATTGCTAATGCTCTGGCTTGTTGCTCCGCAGCAGCAGCTCTTTTTTGCTCCTGTGGAATAAATTCATTATTCCCTGTGTGGCTGTGACAGACGATATAACAATTTCATATCTCGAAAATTGCCCCTTGAAATTACTTCGTGTATCGCATTTAAATGTTGTTTCTTCATCAGTGCCATTTCAGATTGCAGAGACAGTAAAATTGGAGGAGTCTCTTTAGCTGCTTCTTCCGCCTGTTTAAGCTTGTTTCTAGTTATCTCCAATTCAGCTTCAAGTATTTTACACTGCGTTTTGTGAGCGAACTGACTTTTTACTTGTATCTCAAGTTGTTCTTTACTTCGTCGTTCGTCGTGCAATAATTTCTGAAGTTCTCTGAAAACGACAGAAATTTGCTTTTAGGAATATTTTCCAAACCTACGAGTATGTCTTTCCTTTTACATCTCATCGCGTACTTCATCATCTTTCCATGATCAGTTTGTTCCCTTTCCCTTTCGTGACGTTCCATGATCAATTTACACTTCATGTGCTCGATCTCCGAGTAATTCGTACTTTGCGCTTTCTTCAATTTTTCCTTCAAATCTTTAATCACTTTCTCACACTGTAACCATGCTATATTATTAACGAGAAATAATGCGAAATGAATACGTACACTGCAGCACAAACTCACTTCGTCTCGTTCGCTTCTCAGGTGCTTCTTGTCCTGCTGAAAATTCGCTTCCATTTTAGATTTCTCTGCCGATAGCGTGGCCAAGGAATTCATCAAAGTATCTAACCTATTCTTCAATTTTTCTACCGTCTCTGCGTCCATAATATCCGTTTGAATTTCGCGCGTCTGAAAAGTAAACACACACGTTCAAAGATCATTGCCACGTGACTACAAAGTTAATATGAAAACCATCGTTGTACTTGGCGCGAATGAATCGATTCATCATTTCCAGTGTTTGTAGCTTTCGACCGCCGAGTCTGCTGCACGTTCTTTGTATTTTCTAAATTTTCCGTTTGCGAAGAGGCGTCAAATTTACCTAGAATATAATCGTCCATTGTTATTGACAAATTGCTACTCAACAGAGTCAACATGTGCATACCTTGCGAACGTTCATTTTCTGTAGCGATTGACTTCTCGTCTTCGTTCTGCTCCATTGTATCCCGATGATTAACGATTGAATATTCTGTGCAAACGTAGTCAGAGCGTAGTAAACAAGGTTAATGTTCAGAATCTTTTTAAACGATTTTTATTGTCTGCTTCGTTCTCATCTCTGAATGATAAATATATAGGTACTTTTTAGACGGTAACATTCATATCGCTGAAAAAGAAACGACAGTTTTCGAAATAATAAAAAACACTCGATGAAATTACATACGTACTTACACATCAGAATATTTGCCACTACGTAAACATTTAAACGTGAACATTAAAAATGTTAATACAATGCAAAGTGGCACTCGTGTCATACTTTTGCATAATTTCGTACACGATAGTTACGTGCACTTAAAATTACGTATTTCTCATTTGCCACATTTGTAAAAAATTGTCTAAACAAATTTCATGCTAACATTATTATACAATATACATATATACAAGTACCGTGTTCTGTCACATACCCTGATGATATCAAAGTATGTATTAGCTCCCTACATTATATTGCACAGAATATTTTTAATGTCAACAATCTCGATATACATAATCTAACACAACGGAGTAAAGTAACTTGTACAACCATTTATAAACAATATTTCGCTTAAAGATAAAATTTATTACAATAATTTTCAACAGAGCAATGTTTTCAACAGAATAATCAGCATCGTGTTTACAATATCAGATATATATAAAAAAATTACATTTATAAAGTTGTACAGAAATTAATTTGGTACAAATTATATCATGTACCATAAGAAATATTAAAATGTAAACAAAACAAATATTAAAATGTAAAATATTAAAATATAAAATACGTTGCTGTACGATATAAATAGAAGGAAGGAATTTGAGAAACTCATAAAAATACAATACTATCTGTTATACGTTTGATCAACGTTTGTATATTTTGCTTTTGGTTTTCCACATTGATATTCACTGTACATTGTTAGACTGGTTTGATTCACTAGGCTTAAACGGAGATTCTATTTCTAATGTTACAGGCCCACTGTTTCTTATATCAACTTCCATCATTGCTCCAAATTTACCATCTGCAGAAAGCGTTTGTTAAAATGAATGTATTATTTTTTCTGAACAGGCATCTTAACAATAGTTTGGCTAAAGTTCATTTTGTTCTTACTTTGTCTCAATGCAAAAGACATTATATACTTTTATAAGAAGTTGCTAATTATTTACCTTTGATTAAGTCTGGATTATAGTTTTTACCAAGCTCAATAAGAAAGGTATTATAAAATGAGTAGGCTTCTTGAGCAGGCATAGCTTTATGAAAATCTAATCTGTTTCCTTTCAAGATATGGTACAATGTAAATTGACTAATACATAATATTTCATAGTTTTTATCCATAACACTTTTATTCCATTTCTTATTATTATCATCATCGAACATTTTAATATTCAATATCTTTCTCACTCTAAGAAAAATAACATTTCATTTTATACTTTTCAGACTGAATTAGACTATTTTATTTAAAATATTCATTATAGTAACATGAAAAAATGTATTACATATATTTCATATCTTCTATCGTGTCATCTTTTTTAATGCCAATTAAGACACAGAGACCGTTGCCAATGCTACTAATAATTTCACCATCAACTGAAAAATTAGTCTATATAATGATGTGTATCAATGGAAAACAAACCAAGTATAATAGATAAAACATGTTTCTTAAACGCATAATAGATATAACATGTTTTCTAACGAAGCTGAATTGAAATGCATGTTAATTCATGGCATTATTTCATGACATTACACTCTATGCAAAATTATGTTTCTAATATGTATTATTATAATTGGAAAATTGAAATTATCTATTCTAACCATATTTCGTCAAATTTAATACAATATGATATATAATTTTTATTGCATAAGCCTAACGTTTCACATTTCCTTTTTTATTCTTGTTTCTTAAAAAGGCGTAAGTTATTACAACAAAACACGTATAACTTGATCATTACCTGAAACACTAGCCTGTGTCACACGTTGTATCACCGCTTTCATCCTGAAACTGACGTTGTTTCTCATACGTTATTCATTGAAGTTATAATTATTAATATCGCTCGTATACCTATGTGCGAATCCTTCAGTGTCGAAGGATTTCTCGAAGAAAATACGCTGGCATGGTCGCTAGTGACACTCTAGAGAAAGAGCCAATAGGAGAGCTGAGATAGTCGTAGCGCTCACTTCCGCATTTAGACTTCCTGTAATGCTGTTTGACTTTTCAAAGATTGTTTACAAGCAAATTGCAGAGTACATAATCATCGGAAAAGTTGAACAATCCCGAGGTTGTTTGTCGCGAACTTGTCGAGATTAGTGAAAAATGTACTTATCGAGACTTTGCGAACCATTGTTAAACTTGGGATTATAGTCCAAACTTATTTTTTGTGACCCACTTGTTGCGTGTAGGTTATGACGTTATAAACAAAAATATGTTGGCTGTAAATGTTTGGTTTTCATGATAAATTCGTGCATGCCAGACGATAGGAATGGAGGGTCCGAGTCTGAGCTTGTTTCTAGGCTCAGAAAATATCCAATTAAATACAAATACACAAGGCTTAGAGGAAGATGAGGAGCAAGAGGATGCCAAGCAACGTAGCAAAGAGGTGCATCTTTCTTTATTTTCACTGTTGAATCTTGTTGCAAGATCTTTCACCTCACATGTGGTTTAGTCAGAATGTTTCGTTCAAAAGAATTTATTTTTCTGTAACTTGTAACTCTAACAACTTCCTGTTTCAGATTAAGGATCTATTGGACAACGCGTTTGATGATTTAGACGAAGAATCTGATACCAGTTCTATCAATGACAGTCATTATCAAGATAGCACTAAAGGAGCAAAAGTTTCTAATACAACATTAAATTCTTCTCAGGGAATTGTATCATCCAAAGACCAAACAGTATCTCATTTGCAAAAAGAGTTTGACACTTATGATCATGTCGATAATTCAAACAACTATGACAGTAGTGTAACAAATCATAGATCAGAGTTGGAACTTGCTCCCTCAATCTCTAGCATGCAGAGAGACTTCAATGTATATGGTCAAATTGACGCTCTGTGTTCTAACAACAACAGGGGTAATGATATGCATAATATTACTGCAGAGACACCTTACGAACTGGCAAGACCACCAAACTGTGCATTTCCTAAAGACATAAGAACGCAAGTCGAAGAAGACTATAGTTTTAACGAAAATTATTTATATAATTATCAAACGCCAGCTAATCATTATGACGCTCAAGATAAAAATTGTTCGAATAATGGTTATATCGATGGATATGAAAATAATATACACTGTAAGCAAATTCATGAGTTTGGAGGTGGTGATAATCTTACATCTGATCACATAAATCATTGTTACAAAACAAGTCCAAACGGCAGACCAACTGATGATGATAATATGGCTTATAAAATAGCAGAGTACGATAGTAAGGAACAATTGGAAGTTTTATACACAGTACGAGTGAAAGAAGTTAAACGATTAACAGAAGAGTTGCAACAACTACAGTTGGAAAAAGAAGAAGAAAAGCTTCAACTTAGTAGAAAAATAACACTTTTACAGGCTGATATCGAGAGATCAAACATATCTAGGAATCAAACGCAACACGCTTTGGGTAAGATCTAATGATGTTAATATTATTATAAAAGATTATCTGTGTAAATGATTATAAGATCTCATGCTTTCTTGCAGTTGACGCAAAAGCTGAAATTGCAGATCTTCAGAATCAAATAACATCGTTAAAAGAAAAAAATGCAATTTTGGAGAAAACTAATCAACATGTAAGATTTTCCTGTATTTTTTTGCAGAATAGTTTTATTGATACAATAACAGTATGTATATTAATTACACAAATTAACAAATTTAGATGACAGAAGAATTAAATATCGCCAGAGATTCAGTAATAGAATTACAACAAAAAATAGTTGTATTAGAAAGAGTACAAGCGTTGCAAGCAAATGATAAAACACACGAAAAATTTTTGAAACAAGCACAAGAAAAACATGCAATTGAAATGAAGAATATGCAAATACAAATTGACGTACTTACAGACAAACTTAATGCAAAGGTATTTCTTACGTATTAAATTTTAATCATATTTATTTGTAACGTAAAGTGTAGATATTGATAACAAAATTTTAGCAAATTTTTTTTTCCATGACGTATAATCTGTAAAAATAGCGATACACTAAAATTTTGTTATCCATTGACATATTTTAAGTTGCAAATGTAATAATAATGTTAATAATAATAATAATAACAACAACGATAGTTACAACAATATTTGTCATAGCTGCTCAATGTGGATTCCAACACTCGTTGTATATGGGCAAGTTCATAATATTGTATTTTTCTAGAATATTATAACTGTTATACAAAATTATAATTATAATTATACAATTTCCTTGATTTTTACTTATTTTTTTGCATGATAATGCTATTAAAAATTTGTATTTTTAGAAGAACCTATTTCTAGAAGAATTACATTTTGAGTCACTAAATTATCACAACTTCATTTATTTGATTTTCTTGAATTTTAATAGGAAACATCTTATATTGCTTTGGAAAATAAATTAGCCGATATACGGAGGACGAATGAAACATTGATGGTGGAGAAAGGAGATACGATGAATCGTCTGGCACAAGCGCTAGAAGAAAGTCAGGCACAGTGCCGGAATCTTATGGCTACGAATAATGCTCAGCAAGTAATGCAGCTTCAAGCACAAATTAAAGTTTTGATCCAAGAAAAAGAAGAAATGCAAAAAATGATTCAAGAATTACAGGTATTTAAAGCATTAATTTACATTTGAATCCGTTGTGTATATTCTGAAACATATTTAGAATGTATAAGATTCATATTACAATAATATATTTACAGAATAAATTAGAGATAGCAAAAAGTGATGCAGCACAGTATGACTCTCTGTTAGCTACAACATTAGAAGAAGAATCAGATTCTATTAGACAGATGAAGTTGGGTGATTTCCATAATAAATCGAAATCAAAGCCTTACGATGATATCACGAATAAATTAAAAGGCGAATTGCAAAGGTAATTGGTTTTGATCTAAAACAATTTCATATTGTATCAAATAATTATGTATCGTAATATTAATTTTATTATATATTGTATAATTTACAGGTGTTTAGCTGGACAAGCTATCAAAAGGAAAGAAATAACTAGATTGGAAAATACTCTATCGCAGAAAGAAAAAGAACTTGATAAAGCTTTAACTATAGCAGATACGTGTCGACAGGAAGCAGCTCGTTATGCTAAACGTGTTAACGAACTAGAACAAGAATTGAAATCTGTACTTACGGATGAAGCTTTAAAAGCAAAAGCTCAAATACAAAAATTATCCAATCATCTTAATGATGTAAAAAAGCAATGTGAATCATTACGGGAAGAAAAAACAAAGTTAGAACAAAAATTAAAGGAAACAATAGCAATTAATCAGGAAACACTTGTGAAATTACACCAAGAAAGTATAAATCAAGAAGAGAAAGATACCATTGATGAGTACAATAAAGAGTATTTGGAAATACATGCTAAAGCTGTAGAAAGAGTCAGGCAAGAAGCACAAGTTGAAGTAGTGCAATTATCGTAAGTATAGACATTGTTTCTGTTATAATAATTATTTTTTTGTTTATTATTTATGTACTTTTAATACCATGCTGTTTAAAATGGATGAAAGAAATGTGTTAACTTATAGCGTGCAATTGGAACAAACGCAAAAAGAATTGGATCGTGTTAAAGAGTTGTATATAGATGTCTGTAGTACAAAGGAACAGTTAATAAGTGAACATAAATCTGAAATCAAAATGTTAAGAGAAAAATATGTTAACTTAGAAGAACGAGAAATAGAGATAGAAAAATATCAACGTGACTTGCAGGCACAAGTAAAGATAGTAGAAAAATTGATGAAAGAGTGTGAAATGTACAGAAGCAAAATAATTGACTTAGAAAAAGATTTGAATTATGAAAGAAAAAAGAAAGATGAATATATAAGGAAGATTCACCAAGAAATTGAAAAGGGTAAGAATGATATTGCTTAAGTAAATAAAATTTTTTATTAATAAAGATTTAATTATCGCAAATTTAACGTCGTTTACAGCTAAAGAGGAAGCTTTGAATGAATTACGCAATGCACATCCTAATCAAGAAATAAGTGTTTACTTGCCAGATCATTGTTCCGAACATTTAGAGAAAATAAATCAGGTATATATATTTTGCGTGTAATTATTTGTTTGCTATGCTTTAGTCATCATATTTAATATATTTATAGTTAGAAGAAGATTGTAAACGTTTGGAAGATAAACTATATGCTGCAGTTGAAGAACAGAAAAAAGTGTTAGAATATCAATCTGCGTTAGATGATGCGAAATTAAAGATAGCGCAAATGGAAATATCTCAAGAATCATGGAAAAAGAAATATGAAAATGCAATTAGTGAAAGAAATAATTTTCTTACAAAAATTTCTAAACTTGATTCTGAATTGTCAAATATCAAGCGAAATTCAAAGATCGAAGATTCCGATGTAAAATTAAAAGTATCTCGGTATCAAGTAGAAAATGAAAGTTTAAAAAATAAGTATGAAAATTTAATTAGCGAAACAAACGTTTACAAGGATAAAATTTTACAATTAGAGACGGAACTATCAGAAACAAAAAAAATACTTGCGAATTTCGAGAATAGGTTAAAAAAGAATAGTGAAATATCAAATTCAAAATATGAATTGGAAAAAGAGCTTTCTCACTATAAAGATTTTGCAACGCGATTGAGTATTGAAATAAATCATTTGAAAGTTGAAAGAAAAAGTAATCATGCCATGGAACAAAGAATCAAACAATTAGAAATAGATTTACAAGGGAAGGAAGAGGAAGTGGAAAGATTAAAGGACTTTGAGAAAACAAAATTGGAGAGAGATCAGCTTGTATTAAAGTTAAAAAATCAGGCAAAACAATTTGAACAGTATGTTAAGCATCAAAAACAAATATTTCCTGAATTAAATTTATCACCGCGCAGTTCGAACGATGGGACAGATTTTCTAAAAATAAGGGAAAGTATGATCAAAGAGTTACACGAAGAGATGGAACAAAAGGTACACGAAGAGCTTAAACGTATAGAGGAACATAATCGGGAGAAAAGGAATGAGTTGGAAGAAACGTATAAAACAGTTTTATTAAAATTAAAAAATAAATATTACGAAGAAATGCAAAAAGTGATTGAAACTTGTCGTAAAATATTGCTGGCGAAACAGTTGGAGATTGAGAAGTTACAAGAGGAATTAAAGCAGAAAGAAACTGATGTAAACGAGGAGAAAGACGTAATGGCTAAATTTATCAGTGAATGGGTTAGAGAAATTAGGGAAATAAAAGACAAAGAAGTTGAGATGAATAATAAATTACAGCAGTTACAGGAAAGTGAAGAAAATTTGAAAACGGAAATAAAAACGTTGAAAGAAAAAGAGAAAGATATAAAGAGTAATATCGATAAATTAAAAACTAAATATCAGTCGGCAAAAAGTACCGCGAACAATTACAAGGTAACTGTGTGACAAAAATGAACTATATCTAATTTTTCTTTTTTAATAATTTTCCTTTACTTCTCAATTATTTTAGGAATATGCAGCAAAAAGAGAGAAATTTTTCAAAGAGGAATGTAAACGTATAGAAGAAGGGTACAAAAGAGCCATGAATCAAATGCAACAAAAACTTGATGCAATCGTTACTACTCAAGAACAAAAACTTAAAGAAATTGAATGTCAGTATACTAAAAGAATGGAACAAATGCGACATGCACAGAAGTACAAAAATAAATGTTGAAGTATATATTAATATTTAGTTAAAGTATATATATATGTGCGTATATATGTATATGTATACATATATATATCTTTATATATGTGTGTATGCATGTATATACATATATATCAATATGCAATATAGTTTAGAAGGAAACAGTAGTTAGAAGAGGCTAGATATTTTTTTAATTTAAAGCACTTTATTGTACAACACTCTATTAGAAAATTTTTGTGTTAGGGACCAATTAACTAAAAATCATAGATGTATATTAATAGAATTAATAATACTTATTTGCTGTACTTCATCGTCAAGTAACAGCAAATAATATAATTTTCTAAACGAGAGAAAGTACAACTCCTGGTTAATTAATAGAGTACTAATTATAATTGCTAACATTTATATATTAATTGTGAAAGAACGTGAACTTGTAAAGAGAGAATTATTTTAAGATTTATTAATTTTATTTCAATTTTATAAAATATCTATTATCCAAAATATGAACAAGTTCTCTTGTAGTGAGACATTTAGTCACGTGTTCTTACTGAACATTACGACATAATATTTTAATGCAAGACTGGATTTCTTTCTTAATAAAATAAATATAACTTCGTAATGATTAAAATTATCTAAGTACACTTTTGAGTATTAAAAATATTGTTTACAACTTATATATCCTAAAAGGAATTAAAAGTACTAATATTAAGATTGTACAAAATAGATATTAGAATGACGTTATTAGAAATTTATGTTATAAATATATATATGAAAATTTACACTTATGTTTGATGTGCGAAGTCAAATTATATGACAGATATATTGAACATTGAAATTGAATAAATTTATATCTATCTGGCATTTAAAGTATTAACTAACAGTTAAATGTGTACAAATTCGTCGTTGATGTTATCTAAATTTTTGAGCTCGTACATATAAAATATTTTGTACAAATTAATACATGTAAACATTTTTGTAAATGAATTAAGAAGCCATAATTCTTTTCTATTCTTATAATTTATAAAGTAAGATCGATTTAATACGTATAAGATTCTTAATTATCAAATTATTCTGTTACAATTGGTTTTGTTTTATAAAATTTTAATACCAACTTTAAAATTAATTACTAATAAGCATTTTTGAATTCTCAAAGAAAAAAACAGTTTTGAAAAAACTGTTCTCAATCAAAAATGTATACTTTGAAAATTTATTTTAAAGATTTTAAATGTGACATATGACATTTATGCATTATATGCTGTACATTATACATTATTAATTTTTACCGATGTCATTAGTGTCATGCTTTGATAATGATAATTCTCAATAATTATTAGATGATCACTGAATAGAGAGTATTATTAATATTAGTTGTATTTTTGTATGTAGAATGAATTAATTTATTTTTTGTAATAAAGATTTTATGTCAGTGTCTATTAATTACTCAGATTAAATTAACTAAAACCTTACATACTTATGTTGCATACATACTTTAATATAATCAATTATTCCAAGTTTATATACACACACACACATATATATATATAAAATTCCAAGTTATATATATATGTGTGTGTGTATATATATATATAATTTTTATTACGACTAAGAAATAAAAAATGTGGAAAACAAACATGTAGACAAGTGTTCTACATGAAGACGAAGTAATTGTAATGCATTAACAAATAATAAAATAATGGAACAAAAAATAATATTATTGCCAATCCATTTAATAATTAAATTACATCTTCCAATCAAACTGATTGTTTAATCACAGAAAGTGCACCAAATATGTAATGCCAAAACAGTTAAGTATCCAGAATTAAATAAGTACCAGAGGAAGCATCATAGTATTTAAGGGAAACATTAAAAATGCTGTCCCACTAAAACAGGTAAATATTCAAATTATAAGGTAAGTATTTAGATAAGTACCACGGAGTTTATGAAAGATACTGAAAAAAATCACACAATATATTGTTCATTTATTAGCATCTATCTATTCAGTTTACCCTTGTGGATGAATAATTGAAGAAAATGATAGATGGATAAATGAATGCACATACTAATAAATGAACAATATATGGAATGTGATTCTGATATTTCTCTCAATTGAATAGCTACAGTATTTGTCTGGATATTTAACTTATGATTTGAATCTACAATAATTACCTGTTGAATGAAGCATCTTTGGTATAACTTTTCTTTAAATGATACTTATCTGAATATGTAAGTACCTACTTATCTTATTTGTATTCTGGGTACTGTCTTGACAGAGCATGTTTGATGCAATTAATAGTTTCTCTACAACTAAACAATGTATTTAATGAACGGTTTTATTTTTAGATGTATTAGTAATAATATTAATTTTTCATTTTTTCATTACAGTCATTTAATATTACTTGTAGTATCATATACATATATATTTCTTACATTACATCTCATATATTCTATTTTCAACTCCATCTAACGACGTTGTTATTAAGAACTACCGTTAACTTCAAATACGTTTAACATGTAGTGCAATGTTATTTATGAAAAATATCTAAAGTGCTACATATCAAAAAATACGCAAAATTTGGCGATAAGATAATATTTATTTATAATGTAAAGGAGTAAGTAAAAAAGATTACATTTATCTTATCGGTGAAAAATAGTCGTTTACATCTCGCTATTTAATTGAGTAGTAACATATGTGCACAATATTACGAATCTTGCAGAATATTAAATAATATTAAAAGAACATTTAACTTACATCTTGTCAAGGTATAAATACAAGGTTATATTATAAAATATATTATAATTATATCTAATCTGAATATCATTTTTATATAGGTAATACTCTTGGTACACCTTACATAGAGAAACGTTGCGAAACTCGTTATTGGTCTATGGCAAATAAACTGACTCGTTCACTCTGAATTGAAATCTGAATAAAACTCATTGATATGCATTTCGAGATGAACCCTCACAAAATTTTACTATTAATTTTTATTGCGTTATGGCAACCTGCTGTGCAATATGCCTTTTTAAATAGGTTTTACAGAAGCTATCACGAACAATCATTGCGCACTCAGATTGAATCGCACAGCGCGAAGTACAAATATGAGATTAAAACAATTGATATGCCAGTATGTACTTTTATTAACTTTTACTTCCAGTAATATTCGTCAGTGATATTTGTCACAGTTTTTACGTGTTTGCATAATTAGCTTGGTCCATTTAGTATATATACATACATCATTGTTACGTGTATATATCTGTAATCATACAAAACTTTTTTTTCACTTTTTAAATAATTCAAGTTTGATCTTATTCTGAGTCTTATATTTTTCTTTCTTTTTTTATATTCGAAGTAAGTAGTTTTAAATATATTACAGGTGGATCACTTTAGCTTCTCAGTATTAGATACATTTAAATTACGGTATCTTCTAAATAATACGTGGCAAAAGACAAAAAATGCACCTATTTTCTTTTATACTGGGAATGAAGGTAACATTGAAACTTTTGCTCAAAATACAGTAAGTATTCTACAATCCATGGGATAATAAATATGAATATGTTTTTACAATATATTTCATTCGATTATCCATTATCCATTAACTCATTTCAAATTGTAACATTATTACATTCTACAGGGTTTTATGTGGGACATAGCACCAGAATTTGGAGCTTTACTAATTTTTGCTGAACATCGTTACTATGGAGAATCTATGCCTTACAATAATAAGTCTTATGCAGATTTGAATCATTTGGGATATTTAACATCTCAACAAGCCCTTGAGGATTATGTTAATCTGATTCAATATTTGAGATCTAAATCAGAATATAAGCACAGTCCTGTCATAGTTTTTGGTGGTTCGTATGGTGGTATGCTTAGTGCATGGATACGCATGAAATATCCTCATATTGTACAAGGGTCAGTAAAACAATACAATATAAAGTACAATATATAATATATATATAAAGCATAATATACATAT